CCCCACACGTCTCTGGTGGTCGTCAATCTCCAACAGAGCCTCCTCGTAGTAGTCATCTACTGCCTCAGCCCATCGTGACAACCGAGTCACCATCGGGTTGTAGCAGCAGGGCGTGTCCTGAACTGTGCAAACTGAGTTGCCCTCCTCCCGGAACGGGTGATGAGCAAACTCGGTACTCACTAACTCAGCTCGGTGGATAGAGCTGAGTCGGAGGAAGGCCTCCCGGGCGGCATCCTGCATCGCGGTCTCTGGCAGGTCTCGGTGGTGACGTGTCTGGAAGCTGTAGTCCAACTCGGAAGGGACTCGGGGGTGAATCTCGACCCGAGCCTCCCAAACTGAGCCACACTGTCTCACTCGGTATGACGGGAACCCAGGGTATCGCAGACGCCTCAACATCCGATGCAGCTCAATGACATACCCCTCTGATTGAGGTAAGCTCAACTCCCAGGTAGCGGGTGAATCCGAATCTGCCATCTAATTTTAAGAAAAACCCAAAGTCAGTTGAGAGTAAAACTTGTTTTGTAAAGAAAATAGTTAAGAGTAAGATGAAAATTGTACCGAGTTTTGTAAACATAGCGTTTTTATTTTTGAAAGTATTACTAAATGGGAATATCTCCCTTGGCCAACTTAGAAAAGGGGTGGGGCGCCTTTTGGTCTTTTCCTACAGTCGTATGGCTCTGATACCAGCTCTGTGGACCCCCGTATTTATAACAGGAATCAATCGTGTAAACAGTACCATTTCCCTGGATCAAGTAGTTTGGTACACACGAATTCATAGCTGAAATATCAAGTGCACATACACGAGTGTCTAATACAAATTATTACATCATAGGCCCGCAGGCATAGTCTTAAATCATCGGACCGAGAGGTCCGGAATACATCCAAAAGCAGAAATAGATAAGGCAGCGGAATTCAGGCAGCGGCATGCCATTGCCACAGGCAACGACCGTACTAAGACCTACTGGACGCCATCGTCTTCATCTCCCTCCTGATAGTAGGCATAGGGATCCTCCGAGGCTTCATCTCCCGCTTCTGATAAATTTTATATTTGCAAGGATGAGTACCAACCGTACTCAGCAAGCCACCACAGCAACAATGCATATGAAAGGGGGAGTTCAAAGGATGGCCATAGTTCTTTTGCGCAAAGCAAGTTTTGTAATTCTTTTCACAAGCCTAAGACCTAGCATTGACTGATCAAATTTTAGTACCAGAGTTTGTATTTAAACAACGACGGTTCTGTCCACCATCCATTGTGATCCCAAGGATAGCTTCCCGTCATTGAGTCGTTATGGTTTTCTGAGGACGTCCACATTCCCGCCTCTCAGGAAGTGGCTCCATCAGCATAAAAATTCATCATGCAATATCCCCTCCCACACAAGTTAAGAATTTAGAGTCTAGCCAAGTGTAATACATGTCCCGGTGCTCAATAACCGCGAGCACGGCTATTCGAATAGATTTGGTTTACTCACACTGCAGTGGATGTACACTTTACCCGCACTCCGCGACTGCCCAACACATGAGCCTCGTCCCAACACATGAGACGCGTCACGGCAAAGCTTTTCGATAACCTCGCATTGGCAGTACCCGCTCCATGAACTTAAATCCTCATGCACTCTAGACGTCCATGTTTCTAGCAGTGAGAGGAGTTCTGGCGCTCCCGGGAAAGAGAAGTCTCACACACATATTAAATTATGGTTCAAGTTAAGTTCTCTCTCTCACACACTCATGGCAGTCCTACCAATGGCGACACCGATGTAGGGCACACCTCTTGGCCCTACCTCAACGGCTGTCCCATCGTAGCGCACCTGCCTCACTCAGGGGTGAACCATCTATGCAGGGATACTGCCTCCGCTCGGCTATCTAATCCGCTAGGTCTATACCCATTCGAGAAGTACGGTTGTACGGGGGTCGTTTCATGCTTAACTTCATGGCTCGGTCCTTAATTGACCGGGGACGGTACTAGCCTTTTCCAGATACCACCCAAATCCTCCGTCCGCCCCAGTCGAAAACAGTTGTTTAATTTTATTTCTCCTTTCACAAATCATGTCATCAACATCATGGCAATGTGGCGCTCATGTCTCCACATGCCGCATCTCAATTACCTTCCCAAAGGTAATTGCCCAAGCATATAGCATTTGATAAATATGAGTATGCATGATTCTAGAATAGCATTTCTAAGCAATTGTCATAATTGACTAGGGACTCATACGTAATCATGGTTACAAAGATTTAAGGGTTAACAATAATCAAGGCATGGCATAATCACAAGTGGGATGTTCATCATTGCATGCAATTTTATTTGTAAACAAAACAATTTCGCAATTAGGATCAACATGTTCAAGGAATAGTGATGACTTGCCTTGCTGAAAGTCTTGCGGGTCTTGGCCTTCGCTTGGATCCGCAACTCCCTCGGGCTCTATAGTTTCGTGCAAAAATTGATTTGAATTCGGTTAGAATTCAAATAAAAATCCAAATAAATCCAAATGAAAGTCGAATGCGAAAGTCGATTCCTTTTTATTAACTTTACTATCTGCAAACTACGGCAAACCCAATTTTGATTTAAACTACTTTGCGGGTATAATTATTTCGTTGTCAATAATTTACTCTCCCCGAGCATTGTATATAATAAGCTAGAAATTTCTATTACGAGCTAAATATTGGACGAAATCCTAGAAATATTATACAATTTAATTTAGTCTATGACTAAACGATTAAATATAATATACGTCTAAAATTCCTAGCGATTAAATCCGAATTTCTACCGTGAATCGATTACTTATAGGGATTACCCAAAAATAATCTATAAGAATTCATCTATTTGTTTAGTTATTAATTACACCTAAATTACTACCGCGAATTGATTTCTTATAGAAATTACCAAGAATAATCCATAATTTATATTAAATTTTGCAATTCTACGACTATAATTAATCTATAATTAAATTCTAATTATTTTAAATTTTCTAAACTTCCCCAAACTCCCTCTAATTTCCTATTTATTTCCTTTTTCTTTTTCTCCCTTTCCTTTTTCTTTTCTTTTCTCTTTTCCCTTTTCTTTTTCTCTTTTTCTCTCTTTTCCTTTTCTTTTCTTTCTCTCCTCTCTTTCTTTTTCCCTTTCTTCTCTCCCTCCCGGCTTCTCCCTCCCTCGGTTTCTTTTCTTCTTCCTCTCTTTCTCTCGGCTCTCTCTCTCTCTCTCGGCTCTCCCTCCTACCCGAGCGGTGGCGGCGGTGGACGCGAGGGGGAAGGAGGGCGGCTCACCGACGGCAGCAGCGGAGACGCCGGCGGTGGCGACGGTGGCGTACGGCGGCACAGAAGCGGCGGCACGGTGGCACAGGAGCGACGGCACGGCGGCGCGGGAACGGCAGCGCGGCGGCACGGGAACGGCGGCGCAGCGGCACGGGAACGGCGGCGCAGTGGAGAGGGGAGAGGGGAGAGGAAGGGGGAGATGGAGTGGAGAGAATGGGGGGGAGGGGGAATATTTATAGGGAAGAGGGGGAGAAGGAGAGGGGAGGGGCGGCGGGGCTCGGGGCGGCGCGCGGGGCTCGGCGCGGCTAGGTGTGACGGCGACGGCGACGCGACGATAACGCGGCGCGGCAGCGGCGCGGGACGCGAGGCGGCGACGCGATGGGCGAGCGGCGCGCGGGGCGCGAGGCGCGAGGGGGCGCGCGGGGCGCGAGGCGACGGGACGGGGCGGCAGCGGCGACACGACGGGCGCGCGGCGCGGCGACGGGACGGTTGCACGGCGGCAGGCGGGCGTGCGGCGCGGCGACAGCGTGGCAGCGGCGGCGCGGGGCACAAGGCGGCGGCACGGGGCTCGAGGCGGCGGCACGGGGCGCGAGGCCGACGGCGATGGCGCGCGGCGCGGCAGCGGCGACGCGATGGACGGGCTCGGGGGATGGCAGGCAGGTGCGGCAGAGGAGGGGCTGGGCTAGGGGACATGGTCGAGCACGTGGCGGCCGATGAACAGTGCCCTTTTTCCATTAAACCGATTTTAGAGTATTTCCCATATAAATTTGATTCCACAATTCCTAATTTTACATATATGCATTTTACTCAATATTCGTGTTATCTTAACTAATGAATTCACCCTAGATTAATATTACTCATATTTTATTTTTATATAATTTATTTGAGCTTTAATTAGGGTTAATTCTTATTCCATCGCAATGAAATTTAATTGATCCAAATATGGTCGCGATAATATTTTATTTATTACTATCCACACCTAATCTTTATTTTTAATTTATATTTATTTTACCAATTTGTTTTTAAGGTTTATTACTAATTAACTATTCTTTACTCACGATTAATAATCCTCGAGATCAACTCCAGATAAAATAGACGAATAAGATCGGCATGATGCAATTAGTTTAAAAAGTTTCTGAAAATCCGTATTTTTAGAGTTTTGGTTTTGTCGGTCGAATTTTCAGGGTGTTACACACATGCATTTAGCTAGTCAATAATATTCATGTATTAATTGTATTCCTCCTTTCAGCGTTATAATTCAGGTAATCAGAAGGTGCTTGCAAATGGTGCCACAGACAGAGATACCAACGATTTGGCAATGCAAACACAAGTTCCTACTCAAACTAGAGAGGGACCAACTTTCACACAGCTACTACTCGGAGAGGAAGATTTTGACCTTCCTCCATATGTTCCAGACGAAGCTGAAGAGAACAATCAGTTCTATCATCAAACAATGAATGAGTTCCTAAACATGAACCAATTGGGAAACAATGGGACAAGAACTACTCAGTTGGAACCTCAGGAGCAAATGATGATGTTTGGCTCTAGTTCTGGTATAGGTTCACAGCTTTCAGGTTCTCAAGCAATAGAAGTAGTTGATGTTGTAGGAGGTCTAACTTCACCATGGGGTACCCAGCTACATGAGGGTCATCTTGCACATCTAATGTCATATATCCGTGCATTTCGTGACCTAGAGCAACAAACCTCTCCCAACCTTGTCATGCAGCAATCTATTGGTCCAGTGTTGAATCACTATGCCCGTAGTGCCAGATGTCATATTCCATGAGATATCCAGAAAATGTAGTTTCTTATGGACCTCAAAATGTTTCTGGGTTTCCCTAGACCTATGGACATATCAACACACTGAACAACAGGAACTCTGAGTTCCATTTCCTGCTTGAACAAGCAAAGAATCCAGAGAACAATGTCATGCGACTAATCAACATCAGGAGCCATGTACCTGCTTTCAGGTTCACACATAACCCATGCAACCGTCAGTGTTTTATTGCTTATTCCTAATTTCATTTTTTTTATTTTGCATAAGCAGTGCTGATCCATTTGGAAGCCGTTTCATACAACATAAGCTTGAGAGAGCAACACCAACAGAGTTACTTATGGTGTATAAAGAGATTGTTCCTCATACCTTCATGTTGGCTATTGATGTTTTTGCCAACTACGTGATCCAGAAGGTTCACCCAAATGCATATTGACTTCTATTTTGAAACAAAAAAAATTTTTTATTTAATTTTAAATTTTTATAGTAAATTTGAAAATGTGGAACTTAGCTGAGCTAATTTTGTTTTCCCCTTTCAGCTTCTTGGGTATGGACCTACCTTGTGCGGAAGGGAACTCATCGGTAAACTAATTGGTCATGTGGTAGCCCTGAGCCTTCACATGTATGGATGTCGAGTGACTAGGTAAAATGGGGCTTTTAACTATTTGCCACTTTTAGATTTGGCAAATAACTATTTGCCACCCCTATCTCAATGACATGTAGGTCCACATGTGTCTATGACATGTGGGTCCAGTGGCAAAAAGTTAAATGTGGCAAATGGCTAAATATCTCAGGTAAAATATGAACATACATTGTAACTAGTTGCTTTTGCACCATGTTAGCTAGGTTATTTCAAAGTAAATTCTGGCACATGCATTATTACAATACAACAACATATACCTTTTTTCCCCTCTCGAAAGGATTACAGAGGTGTTGTTTATTGTTAGAGAGCTCTTTGTTGCAATATTGATAGAAGTTCGTTGGATTTAATGAACAAGTTTAGTTAGTTTTCCATTTTATTTTTTGGTATATAATGTTATTTAAGGTGTTCCATGGATTCTTCTTGAATTAATTAATACGTATAATTTTGACATGAGGCTGCAGTTAATCATAATGTGTAATTAGACTATTCTTTATATGATTTTCATTGCGTGCTTTAATTAATTAGGCTTTTGAAGTAAGTGATATGGATCAGAGGATAGAAATGGCCAACGAGGTTGGCAGAAAGTTGATGCAATGTGTATACGATCAAAACGGCAATCACGTTGTGCAGAAGTGTTTGCAGTGTGTGCCACCTCAATATATAAAATTAATCCATGCAAGCTTATGTGGGAAGGCCGTGATGTTATCCACCCATCCTTACGGATGTCGTGTCATTCAGGTTGATATATACACAAACGCACTCTTCGTTTTTTTATTATTTGTCATATATAGTATAAATGCTTTTAGTTAATGATTTTGCTAGTTATCAATTAGTTGATCATTTGCATTAATTAATTAATTGGTGTCATTTCGATCCCTATGCAGAGGGTGCTGGAGTGGTGTGATGATCTAGAAATACTGAAAGAGCTCATCTCTGAAATTGTGGAAGGCGTCCTCGAGCTGGTTGTAGACCAATTTGGGAACTACGTTGTGCAGGTAAATGATCCTGTTTCATATATCGATCCTAATTAAGTCCATAACTAGCAAGCTATGTAGTCTCTCCGTTGAAATTTTTCATATATCGATCCTAATTAAGTTCCTAATAAGCTAGCTATGTAGTCCCTTTGTAGAAATTCATAGGATGTATGATGTATGAAATATAAATCAGACTTTAGAGATTTTGACCAACAAGTAATCAAATTACTATTTGTGCATATGTAGAAGTCTTAAGTGTACATTAATTTAGTGTATAGAAGTTATGTCAATAGATTGATCAGATAATATATCTAAAGAGATTTAATGAAATATTGATTGTGTTTTAATTGTTACATGGATGCAATATTGATATATATGTGTGGTATAGTAATACATATATGGTGCAGTATGTTGTGGAGCATGGAGGGGAGTCGGTGCGAGCGATGATAGTTATGAGGTTGAAGGGATTAATGGTTATGTTGAGCTGCCAAAAGTACGGATCGAATGTGATGGAGAAGTGCCTGACAATTGGTAGAATCCATGACCGTCTCATCATCGCAGCTGACATCGTCGGTGCCAGCGAGGACCAAATCCTTGTTAGTACTCACTACTATGTTTGTCGTCGATCACACACACACACACACACACACACAACACACACACACACACACGTAAGCGCACACACAAAGACACATAGAGAGACCACACATGTTTGTGTGTGTTTATGTTGTGATTGATGTTGATGTTGATGGGCATGCGTATATGTAGATGGTGATGGTGAACGAGCATGGAAACTATGTGATACAGAAGATGTTGGAGACGGCAGCGGCGGAGTGGGTGGTGGACTTGATAGTCATCGTCGTCAACCGCAACTTCTTCAGGCTCATCCACTACGTCCATGGCAGGCACGTCCTCGCCCACCTCCAGATCCTTCTTGCCGCTCGCGGTTCGTATATACTACCTTACTCTCTTTTTAGTTTTTACCTAGCCTGCAATGCATCATCTACTGATCTAGTGTGTGTGTGTAATTTCTCATAAGCATGTACTAAGTTGATTCATCCAATCATTGTTGCATGCAGAGAGGAGGCGGCTGCTAGCTCTTCTCACCCCGCCGCTCTATTACTTAGGTTAATTTCAGTCAACAAACTACTAACTAAGCTAGCTAGCTGTTGGCTTTATTTCGTTTTACCATGCATGCATGATGTAAATGTGTTTCGTCAGTCCGGTGATGTCATACAATCACAATTAGTTCATCACAACTGTAACAAACAGGCGTTTTAATTTTACCAGTGGAATAGAATTGACACTACTTAAAAAAACTAAATACGTGTTGATTGGAAACCCCGCATAGGTGTCGGTTTGCCAGGTGGCACTGATGAAAGAAATCAAAGGTGTTGGTTTCAGAACTAGCACCTTTTAAGTCCCATTAATCCAAAACAAAAGGCAACTCGATTCGAGCTGATGCATCGAGTAGCTTGTAATCATCCCTGAGATCCCCATAAAAAAATACCCAAGAACACAACCATAGAATAGAGAACAAAATTAACTCAATCATAAGATCAAGAACAAAATCAATATCCATGAACATATTCAAAGAGGAGGCCACTGTCGCTACTGCTATCAACATCATTGAGCGGGCCATACCCATGCTCCCAGCAGTGGATCCAGCTGCCCTCTTGGGCGTGGCGGAGGATCGGACCACCCCCATGCGTGCGGCGGCAGATCCAGCCGCTCCTGAGAGAAGAAGAGGAGGGGACAACAGGACGAGCTGTCAGCAAGGAAGGGGGAAGAGCCATCGTCTTCCAAGCAAGTGCAAGCGCAGGCTCCATCCGCGTGTGGTGTGGGAGAGGTGGAAGGAGGAGGAGGAGGAGGAGGAGGCGCGGGCGGTGGTGGAGGCGTGAGGAAGGGGATTTGGTTTTGTGGGGCAAAGAACGCAAGTGGGGGAGAGGATTGGATTGAGTCGGCTCGGCAGCTCCACTCACTTGGCAAAATATCTATTGTCCCCCAGCTCAGTTGGTCTTTGGTACTGAGTTTTTCTAAAAAATAGGCACTTTGAGGCAGCAACCTCATAGGTACCGGTTTTACTAAGAACCAGCACATATAGACTCACGCGGGGTGGTCAGGAGGATGAAAATATCTTATAGGTGCCGGTTATAGAATTTCTGGCACCTTTAGTGTCATCTCTTTTTTGCTGTTCTTTTAAGATCTACAGTAGTATGATACTAGCTACCTCGTACTAGCTTGGAGTATATATATATATATATATATATATGTAAATTAACTTGTGCTACATGGAGTATGGGCTCCAAGATTCAAATTGAGTATATACCTAATTTGAATGAGTATGAATTTTTTTTTAAATGTTTAGATATGAATATTAACTTCTTTACTAACAAGTTTGAACTAAGTTTGAACTTTTTTTTTTGTTAGATTGTGGTTCTAGGTATATTACATCCAAACATATAATTCGTTAGGTATGTAATAATGAATTGTGAAATAAAGTTGAGTTTGAGTTGTTTTGTTGTTAGGTATTTGTATGAATCAAATTCATATACCTAGATATATACCAAACAAATTTAATATATATATATATATATATATGTGTGCGCGCGCGCGCGCATGCTTGAAGCTTAATTTGATGATATCTCTGCCTGCAATCTGCTGCTATACCGTCCAGATGAGACTAAGATCAAGTAGGTAGGATTTGCATTAATATATAGATGCATACGATGATTAATTGATAGAATAAAGTACAATTAATTAATTAAGCTAGTGGTTTGGAGTACTCTAGAGAAGAGAAGAGGAAAAAAAATTAAAAATACTGTTCATCCTATTTTATTTCAGAAATATACCGAATGAAATTTCTTTTACAGTAATATACCGTACGTTGTCGCGTTTTGGAATAGCGAATTAACCTGCGGTATCGCGGGGTTGTAGTGCGACACCGAAGCTCGTGGCAGACACGATATCGCTTGTCCAAATGGCGAAACCCAGATGATATCGTCGAAACACTCACTGGTGGAGAAGTGGTTTTTAATCTGAAATAACCGGGAGTAAAACTCTATTTTTGTCCTGGTTGGTAACACCATCTTTATCCCGGTTGGTGTTATCAACCGGGACTAAAGAGGCTAGATCCGATTGCTTCTTTATTCTTTCATTTTCTTCATTGTTTCTAATATATTTATTTCACCTCATCCCGTCCCCAAAATCACAAATCAATCATCCTCAAATTGTCTCCAAATTCACAAATCGATCATCTTAAATACATCACAAAATCTTAAAAAAAATTACATCACAACTTCTACAAAATTCATCACCTATTTACATCACACACAAATCAAATACATCACACAACAATCTCAGATTCTCAAAAAAAAAAAAGAAAAAAACCGCCAATGCAGGCGACGCCTCGCCGTGCACCATGCCGGCCGGCCCTCCGCGCCCCGCCGCCCTCGCGCCGGCCTGGCCTCCTCGCCCCGCCGCTGCAGTAGAGAGGAGAAGGAGAGGAATATATAAGGTTGAGGAGAGGAGGAAATACCTCGATCCGATCGCGCAAGCCTCTCCGATCTTCGCGTCGATCTTTTTCCTTGTTAGTGTTACCAACCGTGACTACAAATAGATCTTTAGTCCCCGTATGGCGATCTTTTTTCCCAGTTAGTGTTATCAACCGGGACTACAAATAGATCTTTAGTCCCGGTTGGTAACACCAACCGGTACTTAAGATTGAAAAGTACCCTTAGAGCTTTTAAACCGGGACTAAAGATGTTTTTAGTCCCAATTTTTAATACAACCGGAACTATTGTGAAATCTGATCGACAAATGACTAAGCGCAAGTGACGACGCGGCGCGGTATCGCCCGATGAGAAAGCGAGTCTCGCGCTTTGCTGTTGCAATACCGACGGATGTACGGGTGATAGTGTCTCGTTTTACTCTTCTTCCTTCATTGCATTTTGTCTCTATATATAGCTCAGTCACTAAGCACCACGGCTTCCAACAGTCTCTAATAATCTCTCTCCCTTAGCTCATCTATGTAAATAATTAACATTAATTCCTTCATTCAAGTGAGCCGTTTTATTACCTTTGTACATTAATTCCTTCGTCTTCATTAGTTAGGAGGCTGAGTGAGATCGGGAGTGCACTCCGATCCGGTCTCGCGGTTCTAGCTAGCTAGCGAGACCGTTGGTGCACTCGCGTCTCCAGTCCGCGAGACCGCGATACCGCTTTGCATTGGCTGGACCCGCGGCCTCGCCATAGCACCCAGCGAGACCGCGAACAGTTCGCGCCACCACCCTGCGAGACCGCTACTGCATTCACTCACGACGGTATATTTTTGCACTTCCATTCAAAACCAGTATTTTCTTGCAAATTTGATAATCAAAACGTATATTTTAAAAACAATTTCAGAAAAGATACAGATATAATTCAGTAGTTGTTGACAGTAGCTGATCTCTATAGGATGCCTAAGCAATTGGTATATATGCCCCTTTCCTAAGCTGGCATTTAAGTATTTTGGCCAGAGTGTTATTTATACAGTTTTTTATTAAAATATTTAAAAAATATTTTTTTTTCGAAAATTTACAAATCTAGTCACCTCTCGCCCTCTGGGAGCTCTTCCAGATAGCGTTAAGAGACCTAAATATAAATTTTCCAGCATAGCTTGTTAGCTCTATGATTTTACAATTTAAAATTATATTATATAAAGTCAAATGAAATAAAACTTTGTATCAAAATTTTAAAGCTTGAGGAGAACTGCAACTTTGTAGTTAACAACTTTTATATTTAAGATCTTTTAGATATCCAAATATTCGTTACAAAATATAAAACCTATTTGAAAAAATCTCAGATCTAAATTTCAAACGACATCGGAGGGAGATTAACTTTATATAAAAGTTGTAGATCTCGATGAGATCTACAACTTTGTAGTTTATCACTTTTCCATTTAAAATCATTTGAAGTGTCGAATAAGCATTATTAGTATTTAAGCAATTAAAACCGGTGGAAAGGGTTTGAACACAAATAAAAAATTTACATTTAGGTCCCTCATCGCCCTCTGAAAAGGGCGATTTTTAAAAAACAACCTTCCAGAGAGCGAGAGGCGACTAGATTTATAAATTTTCAAAAAAAAAATTATTTTTGTAAATATTGTAATAAAAAATGTAAAAATAAAAAAATCGCATATATATAGATCGCAGTTACCTGAGATCCAGTTTTCCATGTCTCTTAACTCAAACAGTTTGTCCCTGATGCTAAGCCGGTCTTTTCTACTAGCTCAAACAGTTTATCCCTGACGCTAAGCGGGTCTTTTCTACTCTGTCGACTCCTCTGCAGCTCGATGTTGCTGATTTGATCCCCTCTAAAATTTTGGATTGTCGTATGGTTAAAAAAGTGAATACTGCTATTGTTCAACTTTTGATTCGTTGGGGGTCGTTGTCGCCTTTGATGTTATCCGTACCAGATTCCCGGATGCAATCGCCTGTTGTCAAGTTCCATCTCATGCGGGGGGGGACATGTCACGCCATAGAACCTGACGGGCAGACAAATGACCAGGAATAATTCAATTTTGGCGCGGAACAGAGGCGGGCAGGAAATCAAAAGATGTATTCATGTGGAGAAGACGTATCACTGGAAATGGGTGTTAAGTGTGAGTTGTTATTCTGTCGTGTGGGCCCAAGGGCAACGGCGTGTGAGGGAGATATAATCTCCACAGTTGTAATGTTTACAATCAGAAAAAGAAAAATGGAAAACTAATCTCGCCTCCTACTCATGTTCTTCTTCTTCCTCACGCACGCGTCCTGTCCACTGAGCTCCGGCGCCAGCAATTGGGCTGTGACACCACTGCGTGGTGAGTGAGTCTCCTTAGTATCACCTCTTCCCAGGGGCGGATCTACGGTACAGTCATCGGTGTCGATATCAGGCGACACCGACGATTTTCGGTAAAACCTATAGCAAAACTACTTATCCATATATTATAACATCATATTCTAAGCATAATTAGTATACTATGACACTGATAGACACATTATGACACCAATAAATCAATTTTCTGGATCCGCCACTGCCTCTTCCACCTGTTCCTTTTCTTTCTTTCTTTATTTCTTTCATGCTGGTGCCGCTGATGCTTCCTATGCCCCTTGTGTGTTCGTCACAATGCCTCACAAGGAAGGCGTGTCATTATTCATCAACCCTCGCGCCCTACCTTCTTCCTACCCGTTTGATTGCATTCATCGGTACTATTTCACAATCTCCGTCGATTTTGATCCATGGATGTAACATGTGAATTAGCATTGCACTCTCCCAAGTCCCAATTGCTTAAATTAGCCTTTTGGCTGACAGTAAACCGTCTTATACAGTATTATTCTAAGAAAATATTGGACGGACACAGAAATTGGCAAATGATACCCAAACGAAATATACTAGTATATCCCATATCTTTAGATTATATTATTATTAACGAAAACTTGCCGTGCCAAGCTATGGCTTGGAGCGAAGTACAAAGAGAAAACATAAGATATACTCCTCCCGTCCAAAAAAAAAATCAACCTAGTACAATGAATCTGGATAGCCCTTTATCCAGATTCGTTATACCAGGTAGGGTAGGTTGGCTTTTTTTAGGATAGAGGGAGTAATTGACAGAAATAATTAGAGACCTTTTACGGTGTTTGTGAGGTATTTAGAGGTACTTGGAGGTGGAATAATCTGCACCGTTGATCAAGAGAAGGGCAAGGTAGGGAATAAAATTATTGTAACATGATAGCAGTTGAGTAATTAACTAGTAAAACATGAGTTTTTTTATGTGAATTGAATACTTCCAACCATTGATCAGGCATAGTCGAGCGTTTGAACAAGAGACAATATTTGATTGATCTTAGTGCCGGTAAATGACTTAACTCGAAAACAACGTAAATCTACAAGAAACCACGCAAAAGAGAAAATGGCACAAATAAAAACACACATATAACGCTGATACCATGTAAATGTTAATGCGCACGGTCGTACCTTTGCGGTACCTATTAAAATTTGGGGGACAATTCTACCATTTTCACTCTACTAGCAAAATTATATTTTTACCCTTAGTACCTAAGTACCTATATTAATACTTAAATACCTTTAATGTGGTACCTGTGATTAAGAACCATTAGATCTTTACCCTTTTTAAATGCAAACACCATAAAAGTTCTCAAATAATTAATAGCAAGCGTCAAGCCAGCCTGCTTAGAAGGTGTAAAGGCAGATGCTGTCGTTGCTCATCGCCGTTGGGTCAAAGTTGTTGGCAACAGGGTCGGTGCAACCTTCCGGCACAGGCAGGTTACCTGCTTGCTGTGCTCCTTCCGCTAGACAAAGAAGCAGAGATGCCAGTGGCATCGAGGTGTTACGGGCGGACAAGCACGGTGGTTGAGCCACGTCGTGCAATCTCCTTTGAAATGAACGGCTGGATTTTATTTGGTACATGGAGATGCCATCTCAATTCTCAAGCTAGGATGGTAAAAAAATCCACAATACAGTTCAACACAACAGGGCCAACAGCTAACAAAGAAGCAAGACATGATTCATGCGAAACATACAGTTAAACACAACAGCTAGCAAACAAGCACGACTAACTCATTACATTTATATAATACCATGATGATACACAAAGGATGCATAGAACCGGACGGAATTTCTCCTGTCCTCAAAGAGATGAATAAGGCGGTAGGTGCCCCTTCTCCCGTAGGCATATCAGTGTGTTGTACAAACTTTCTTTTATGGGGGTGAATGTGAGGCCCAAGTCTCTCAGCCTTTGATTAGAGAACTTGAAAGGTTGGACCATCTGCTTGCTGTCTTCACACCTAGTTATGAAACAAAGAAAACACACAAACACACACAATTGATAATTGCAAAATTTCTATGGAAATAATTAACATGTCATTTTTGAAAATATATATATATATATATATGTAAAATAAACAAGCCAAAATGGATGCTATTTCTTTACTCATACTTTTACTAAATAATAAGATAATGCATGGATGTATACTATCTTATGACTCTAACAAAAAAGAATATCAATGTCCATGTATTATTTGTTTTTTTCCATGGAACGTTGATGCATTTCAGCTTTACTGTTCTAAAATAATTGGAGCAATATTAATTCTAGTTATATAAACCATTTCATTAAGAATAAATAACATTTTCCATATATACGTGTGTGTGGGGGGGTGTCGACTTTTCGCGTAATGTTTAATCATTCGTCTTATTCAAATTTAGTGTAAATATGCACAAATATAAGATTAGAGTTTCTTTGGTGATGAAATAAGCCACAACAAAATAAATAACATACATATATATATATATATATATATATATATATATATATATATATATATATATATATATATATAAGACAAATAGTCAAATATCTTATTAAAAGTCAACGGTAATATGTATGAAAAAATAGAGGGAGTATAGTTTCTTACTTGTTACAGGTGATTGGATACTGTGGAAAGAGTTCTCTGATCATCTGAATAAGCTCGGACCGGTGAAGCACACTAGCAATGCAGAGATAACGCCCATGCGCCTTGGGGTCTTCATACACCAGTGCATGTGCACGGGCCACATCGCGCGCATCAACATACCCAGCGACAGCATTCCGGTGGGTTTTCCTGCTTCCGTTCAAGAAATCGGCGATATGTCTGATGCTAGGGTTTATGGTTGATTGCAACATCTGGCCTAGTGTCATGGCAGGAAGCACCACCACTAGCTGAATCCCTCTCTTCGATGCCTGCTCTGCTGCTACCATCTCAGCAACCGTTTTGGCATAACAGTACCAGTCCTATATTTGAAATTAAAAAATTAGTACTACATCCTTATCAAAATATGATTTCAACATGCGGTTATCCGAATTTATAGCTAGATATGTTTATGTTTCAGAAGATTAAGAGGGGGTAGTACATAATAATGATGGCCAAGGAATGAAGGAAACTGCATTTGTTTAATGCACAACACATAAATAATTATGTGTGGTTCTTCAGGTTGCAATTATCCAGCATGCATATATCTGGCTTAATTTATCTTACGATAAATAAATAAGTCTATTATAACTATTATATTTTCAAAAATGTACTATTAGATCGTTAGAGAAAAGATATACTATTCTCTACGTTCAAAATATAACAATTCAGGATAAAATAGGATGCATTCCTAATACTAGGAATTTAGACGGAGCCTATGCAAATTCGATTTGTAGTACGTATATGTTCTATCGTATTCTATATTGCTATGTTTTGGAGCGAATGTAGTATTAGCTAACATAGAGCATGCTGCTTTAATAAGGAAATTAAATCTACTTTACTTTTTGTTTGCAGAACTCAAGGTTACTCCAGCAGCTCTCATCCACGACTGTATCATGGCTCCTATTTGGGTCCATGTGTACAGCACCGAAGGTTGATGTGAACACCACGCGTCGTACGCCCATGTCTGCTGCAGCGTTGATCACGTTCTTAGTTCCTTCAACAGCAACAGGCACAAGTCGCTGCACACATATGAATTTAACTACACTCAGAATCAACAAAATTACCAATTACTCCCTACTGTCATAAGTATATTTGATTTTTAGTATAAGATGTTATCAAACTTTTAATTTTTTTACCATCAGTAATATCTCAAATGATTAGTTTTAGAAAAAAAATCTATGCCTAGATTAGCCTTGAAAAATAGTATCGTATAAACTTATTTATGTATTATAGAATTAAAAGATTTGTTCAATATTGTTCTAAATTACTCCCTATATTTCAGGTTGGTAGTAATAAATATAAGGTTAGTCAAAAGATTCAGTTTTAGTCACTTTAATTATTAATTTATAGATTTTGAATAGCTTAGATTCCCTTCGAATTATCTGATTAGATTTGAAATTATTGAAGTAATAGGAATCATGAGAATTGATACAGGAATGCATTTTGAATCCTAATCTTATTTTTCAAAACGAAGTTTATAAAATATTTATGACCGGTAAGCATGAGCCTAAACAATGATGTTGCTGGCATGAAATTGAGAGACTCACCGGATCAACAGATACAGGTGAGGCAACATGGAATACACCTTCACATCCATTAAATGCAACAGAAAGACTATCATAGTCCATCACATCTGCATAGTTCAGACAGAGCCTCTCTTTGGCTCCTTCAAGTTTTTGCAAATGGGAGTTCTTTTGACTAGCTTTGCATCCAGAAAATACAGCAAAATGAAAAATAATATTAATAATAATAATTGACTATATATCATAATTTGAACTAAATAAGGAGAAGTTCAAATGTAAAAATGGAGAAAAAAATTATGAAGGTCATGCTTGCAAATACAATTCATATATATGGTACGTCAAACTCATAAATAGACTAGGGCTTTATATAATTTGCATATACTTGTTTATGTATCACTGAAAAGAGATCAAAACACAGTAAAGGATTTGTAGTCTTTACATGGATCTCTTGCAGTTCCTCTCACGGCATAGCCACGGAGCAGGAGCTCCTTCACCACCCACGACCCAATGAAGCCTCCTGCTCCTGTCACACATACCATTTTGCCCCCTTCAGCCTTAGCCATCATCGACAGCTAGCTAGAGAAATGCACAATAAAGCTGCTTGATTTTGTGGTCTTCACTCTTCAGCCTGCTGTGCAGCCTGACTTCAATTTAAAGCCACACATAAGAGAACAAACAAGTTAGCTGGCACGTACGGAGGAGGTAATCGTCGTCATAATAAAAATTTGAATTTGGTATACAATGACTAGCCAGTTATAGGAATGACACACTCTTGTTGTCCTACAACTAGCTAGTCATAGTATGTACATATGGGCCCACATGTAAGTATGAGGTATGTCAAGTTCTTCAAATCGTGCTATTAAATTCTGGTGGAGATTTACTTATTCTTTTAAATTAATCCAGGAAAGGATCCAGAATAGTACGGGAATAACTAAGAGGACATTCAAAATAGACGGTTCAGAACCAATTATTCGGACCACCAGGCAACGCCAAATCAAAATGACCTTCAAGCATTCCCAGCAGAAACGCTATCCCATCATCCATCGAGAAAATAGCGCATGGGGGAAGAAAATCACAATCTAAAATATATGTCATTGTTACCACCAAATTTAGCGCGTCCACCATTCGAGAGAGAAAAGCGTCAAATTTGGTATTCCTCTTTTCTCATGCCATATTACAACCGCCTACATCCGGAGTGAGCTCCCGCCTCTAGTTGGATCGATGACTCGCCCAAGAACTCCTACCTCCAACCGGATCAATGGCTTGCCCATATCCATTGTCACCAACCGGACCAAGCTCCGCCAAAGGCACCTCCACCCATGGCACCTCCGGCCAAGCTGTGGAGATGGGGATGGATTTTGGGTGAGGGGAATTGGTCATCGCTGGCAGACCAGCTATGCCCGCGCCCTTCTCGTCCTCCCCATCCTCTTGATTGTAATAGTAGAAGAGAGGAAGAGAAACAAGGAACAGAACTGAGATGAGAGAGGAAGATTAGTTGTCTGTTAATTAGCATTTGAGAAGAGAATCTGTTAAAAAAAATTATCCATCCTTTGCAAATTTAGCCATTGCAAAATATCAATTACGAATATATTCGTTCAAATATAATCATTTAAAAAATATCCATGATAAATACAGCTGGTCAAATTAAAAATCTATGGGTAGTTGAAAGATATTATTAAAATATAGGAGGGTGTGATATTGAAAATGTAATATAGATGATCTATTAAGATGAGAAGGGATATAGAGAATTTTTTTTGGAAATAATATGATTTTAATGGAAAATAGCAAAAATATAGATCGGTTAGACGAAATCGTAAGTTTAGCATCTGTCGAATAACCGTGGTGTCGAACAACTGCAGTCGACGGGGTAGTAGGTCCAAGGAAAAATATAAAAAAGTATATCAACAGTGCCCGGGCAGGACATATCGACCAGGCAAAGTTCAACAGGGTCTCGGCTACAGTGCCCTGCCTGACATATCGAACATGCAGGTTCTGCGCTACACGCTACAATGTTTTTTCTGTTTCTAAAAATTATTTTATCACCTGTTGAACTGTCATGCGGTTGTTCGATAGGTATGTCGAACCACGGATGTTCTATAGGTATGTCGAACTGCTAAAGTTACGATTTCGCCTAATCGACATATATTTTTATGATTTTTCATTAAAATCGTATTATTTCTAAAAAAAATCCGAGGGAATCTCTATTAGATGGCCTTCCAAATAGGAATATGGAGAATTAAGTATGGATAAGCTACTGGGAGTGCTCCCAACTCTCTGTTTTGAAGGGTGGTGGATGTAATAAGTACTGTTTAGATGAGAGGGAGCACATTTGTGTGTTTAGACCTAAGCTTTGCATAGTTTATTATTCATGTGGATTAATACTATGGAGAAAAAGTGTAGTTGAACTGGTTAGATTACTTATGGTGAAATCTGTCTATCCGAGTTTAAGTTCTAAACTTGACACATGTACTCGCATTAATTTAGGGTTGTTTTTTTTATTGGTGGGCAACGATTGTGTGGCGTCTTTCGACAAAAATAAACATTTGTAGTATGGAACTCCTGTGTTAGTATCAATGTTTCGACAAAAAATAAACGTTTGCATAGGGGCACCAGATTTGTATACAAACCCGTGAGAAGAAAACTATATATACTACCATGCCCCGATGCATTTTTGTCTAGGTCTAATAATATCGTGAGTTGCCATTAGCTCTTAGCCTCTTACATATATATAACCCAGTTTCTTCAAATTTTCCTCTCTCTCCTCACTAACCCAAATGTCGCATCAGATTTTTTACGTATGTGAGACAAGGTTATTAATTCCATGGAAATTATCCTGCGTGCAGAACTAAGACACGCTATTTAGAAAATGATTTGTTCGAGTACCATGCATGTATTTCAATTCATCGCACTCATGAAATTTGTTTCGGGGCACATTTATTTCGCATGCACACCACATGTTTGGGATACCTCAATTTATGTACGATTAGTGGGGTGAGATGGAACACCGTATTGGAATTATTTGGCGCTTATGTCAACTTTGATTTAGACAGAAGGATTTCTTGGAGATTTTTTTTTGGGGGGGACATGATGGCATATCAAGAAGCGGTGCAATAGAAAAAAAAATTCGGAACACAACTCCAAGTTTCTCAAACTTCTTGCATGGTTTTCGACAATAGATTCTCCTATACACAAGTGTAGGATGAATGATCGTCTTAAACAGATACTCCCTCCGTATTTTAATGTATGACGCCGTTGACTTTTTGACAAACGTTTGACCTTTTGTCTTATTCAAAAAAAATTTATGTAATTATAATTTATTTTATTGTGATTTGATTTATCATCAAATATTCTTTAAGCATGACATAAGTATTTTTATATTTGCATAAAAATTTTGAATAAGACGAGTGGTCAAATGTTGATTAAAAAGTCATCGGCGTCATACATTAAAATACGGAGGGAGTAGTAGTTTTCAATTGGTTATGAATTTTGTAATTTAATTTGGTGTTGATGTAACTTTTCTGTATACTCTTTTTATTGAGTAAAATACATTCATGATATATCAACTAGCATATGGGTGCAATTTAATAAAAAAAACTTGAAAAGTGAGCGTGCTAGTATAAATACTTAGCAGGTGGGTATAAAAAATATAAAGAGTTTGAGGTTTGGACACAAGTATTATAAGAAAGTAGGTTAAATTAAATGAGAGAAGGTTGTGATTGGTTGAGAAGAAAAGATAGGTAAAGAACTTGAATGATAGAAGATTGTCATTGGTTGGGAAGGAAATATAGGTGAAGAAATTTTTATGTTTTGGGATAAATTTTGAATGCTAAATTGTTATATTTGGATACAGGAAAGTAGAATAACTTAATAAATGAGTTTACAGGCACAATAACTAAAGCATGTGTAATTTTGGTACAATAACTTATGATGCAACAAATTAATAATTCGGAGTACTTTTTGATATACTCATTTAAATTTAGTTTTTAAATACTTATTTTATCAATGTACTTGCAAAGATTTATACATTATAGTAATTAAAGAACAATTAAATTTTACTGTGTAAAAAATTTGATATTTTGGTTGAGATTTTACAAGGTGAAGAAAAAAATCCAAACCGATGGTGAAAATTGTATGATAACATAATTCTTATACAATAAATCCAAGATTAAGGTAATATCTATAAGATTTCTATGTGATGACATATAATATCGTGAAAAAGAAAAATTCATCTAGCACTTATTAACCAAAACAATACTAATCTAGCCAAATTCTTACATCAAAATACTAAATTTTTCAAGTTCTTGATATTCAATTCTCAAGTTTATCGTGGTAAAATTTTACAATACTATTTTTTACTTTTTTATATGATTTAACTACTTATACCTATAAGGGTTTTGAAATATTCCCTTTAAATAAAAGTATGTACGGCTAGTTGTTGTGTCCACTGGTGGAGAAACTGTATTTACTTCCGGTTTGTAACCCCCTATAGTCTCGGTTTCCTAACCGGGACTATAAATCCGGGACTAAAGATAGATATTTAGTCCTGAGCAAAATAACCGGGAGTAAAGATCTATCTTAAAGAGAGGGATCTTTAGTCCCGGTTGGTGTTACCAACCGGGATTAAAAGAGAGGATAGGGACAATCCCGGATGGTCCCTTTTTCTTTTTTGTTACTTTTTTATTTTCTCCCGAATCGGATGGCATGCACATCCCAAATCAAACCCCAAATCCCCAAATAAAGTAACATCTCAAATCCATATCACAAATCCCAAATCCACATCACAAATCTTAAAGTTACTTATACACACAAATCTAAAACATCACAAATACTAAAAAATTTACACGCAAATCAAATACATCGTAGATTATACATCTCAAATCCATACAATGAATCACAAAATTACATCTCAGTGAATCACAAAATATTAAAAAAAAAACAGAGAGACGGCCGTCTGCGCCGCACGCCTGCGCGTCCGTCCGTCCACCGCGTCCGCGGCCTCATCCGTCTCCAGGGGAGGGAGGAGGAAGGGAAGGGGAAGGAAGGAGGAGCGGCCTCATCCGTCTCTAGGGGAGGGAGGAGGAAGGGATCAAGGGGGAAGGAAGGAGGAAGGGGAGGATCTGTGTAAGATAGGAGAGGGGAGGGGGGAGAAGATCTGTGGTTGAGGAAGTGGTTATGATTGTGGAGGAGAGGATAAGGACTAGGGATTATATACTATGTTGAATTTTAGTCCTGGTTGGTGACTAAAGATCTAAATGATCTTTGCTCCCGGTTGGTAACTAAAGTGGTAATCTTTAATCCCGGTTGGTAGTATCAACCGGGACTAAAGATTCTCGGCGCCCTAACATGCCTCTGACAGGGGATGAACCGGGACTAAAAATCATCTTTACCAACCGGGACTAAAGATTATTTTTTTTAACCGGAACTAAAAATCATTTTTAATCCCGGTTTTTAATGAAACCGGGACCGACCAAAGATGGTTTCTCCACCAGTGGTCCCATAGCAAGCGTACGATGTTTGGAGGATACCACAATCAGTGTACAGTAGTGTGTCCCAGCCTCCAGGGTGGCATGATGCACATGTTTGGAGGCTATCTCAATCAATGTACGGTCTGCACTCTGCCGTTTGGTGGTGGTGCACACATG